TCCTGATGGTGTGGGATTAGAGGTTTTATGGCTTTCTTTAATATATTATTTTTTACACCGGATATAGTGTTTCTGATCATTTGTTAGATATGACATTCTCTTATATTTTTGCTTCCAAATCCGCCATAATGTCCTTCAGATTGGCAGTTTTTGTCTTTTCTGTTCTTCTCTACCTAATGTCGCCAAACCGTACGTGTCCAAACTGACTCGTGCATGTGATCGGTTTAAGCACTGTAAATACATTTTAAATGCACTCGTCTGCAACATAGATTCAGTAGCTAGATCACGCACAGCCCCCCCCCCCCCTCTCCCTTCCATCCTGTGGCCAATAATACCAGGTACTTTAAAATACTAAATCATATAACATTAATTCACAAGGCGCTAGACTTGACACATACCTGCTTCCTGCCATATTATCTCAAAAGAAGACAACTTGACTTACCGGAGAGAAGGACTGTGGCCTCTTAGAGCCCTTATCTGTCCCCTGTATGTTCACGATAGGAGCGTATCAGATATCTAGTGACACTTGTAAACATCGCCGCTACCACGTGACGGTTTCTGTGGACACTTCATAAATGCGTTTATTGCCAGGCGCCAAACATTTACTTGCCAGAAAAGTAAAATTGCAGTGGGTGGCATGAAAAGAAATTTTAGGGGAGTGGGGGGGGGGGGGGGCGTTGCAGGATATTATAAAATCAGCATTGATTTCATATCAATCTTGATTGAATTTACTGTGAACTGTTCACACGGGGAAGCAGGCAAGGGACTTCGATAGCAAATTTGCTTTCATTTTTACATATAAATATCCTTTAATATGAAAAATATAGGCATAATTATAAAACATTTAAATTATAAATTCTTGTAGAAAAATAAAGTTTTAATATTTTCAAATTATTCTCCTTTAAAATTGCATTTTGAAATCTAGTCCTTCAGTCACATCGAAGAAAATCGCCTATAAGTCCAGATGAAACGTCTTCAGCGTTCTGCCTCAAAACGTTGGCTGTGTTGTCTTGGGTATTTCCACCATCACTTAAATCGGTGTCGCTTGTTACACCATCGTCATCAACAAAACTTGAATTGGAATAATTCAACTCAATAGGTGGCGACGGCGTCGCGTCTGACATCATGTCAATAGACGGCGACACGGTCGAGACTGGAGCGGAATTACATTCACCTTCTTCTGCTGCCTCGTTTTCAGTTTCAAAGCCTCTCAGTTTGAACATGATGAAGTTCTGTATGCGGTCCATGGTGTCCTCGCTCCCAGTGGACAGATATCTGCTGACCAGAGTATCAAGATGGCGGAAGTGTGCGGCTAGAATGCGGGGAGGGTAAGGCTCCGGGCCACCTGTGATATAAAGATGGAGAGTTTGCTGTACACAGACGGGAATAGGGTCGATATTTTGACAATTACAAAATAGCAATGGTAAGTAAGATTTATTTGTGACAAAAGAATTTCAAAACTAAATGAATAAAGATTTAAACAGTGTAACCAACATTATAAAATAGCGAATGTAATTTTTTTTAATCTTTAGATAAATAATAAATATAAAAATTAATTGGGACATTTTACTGAAATTGATTTATTCGTATTTCAACAACAAAACAATTAAAATTAATAAGGGAGCTGTAGAGCACATGCCAAAGGTTATCCTTACCATAACATGAGATTTCTTGGTGGCAAGCTCTCGGCACAAGCAGTTTGGCGAGCCGCCTCTGTGAATTGTGCACTCTGAGAGCGCTGTTCATTTCCCGGAAAGAGCCGTAGACCTTCTCTCTCCTTGCCACCTCCTCTTTGAGACTGGACAAAGAGTCAGGACTCAGCAGAGCACCCGCCTCTACATAAAGCCTAGAAAGTATGGTGTATTGATGTCAACGAGTATATTTCATCGAACCAGTCGTAAATGATACATCTAAACATGAGGCAAAAAGAAGGGGGGGGGGGGGTGAGGGCACAGTGCTGGAGTCAATCATCACTACCTCTCCAATTGCAGCCCAACATTTTGCCTTAGTTAGACTATAGGGGCTTTACATTGCGATTAAAAAATTGTAAAATCTCGTACGAGGAGCGGAAACAGTGTTGCCTCTAAGCAAATTACCTTTGATGTCCCAAAAGCGAAAGAATCAAACATGTGGGACAGTAGAAGAACCTCAGCTCGGTAATGGAAGGAGAAAAGAGACGACGTTTACACATCAAATGAAAAATTAATACCCCACCTGTAATATTCGGATTCCTCGATTTCGTCCATAAAATGAGTCCAGCCTTTCCTGTGGGCCAACCTAAAGACTGCCATCTGGCGAACTAAGATCTCAGGATCGTTACACACCGGTAACTGATCCATCACGCGTGCAGCCTCCTCCTTGGCCTTGGGGAGGTTCCAAGAAGACTCGGGAGGGTTCTTGAAGGAGAGAATCCAGAGGATTGACGTAAAAAGCGCCTGGACGTCTACCGGTCTCGTGCCTATCTCGCGGTGAGCGTATAAACAGGCACGCTCGAAGCCGGCTGTTACGTACCAAGATTCATATTTTTCGTCCACGACGTTGTATAGATCGGTGCAGTCTTTGGCGTATTGAAGGATCAGATCTACATCTGAAACAGCAGAACAAATGTTTACTCATTATTAACAAGTGATCGGATCCAGGATTATTCGAAGGCAGGGGGTCGGTTTTTTTTTTTTTTTTTTTTTTTTTTTTTTTTTTGTTTTGTTTTGTTTTGTTTATACGATCGGATAGCCGACCCTCGCCCCCCTTGGGGTGGGGTTCGGGGCCGCTGAAGAGCCCCCAAAATTTGGTGTTTTAGGGTTAACGGTGCCATTTAGTAGGGTTTAATGCTATGAATCAGCTTGTCAAAATGTTAATTTCAAGAAGGAAACGTAGGAGTGTTGTTTCAGAAACCCCTAAATCCGCCACTGTATGACGTGGTGCTATACCGGGGAAGCTACTGAAACAATTCAATTTTGGGCGCTTTTATTGATAACCCTGCCCGGAACGTTCCTAGTCAGATGAATCCAGGTCCTTTTATTTTCTTTTTGTTTTACACAGATAACGTTTGACCTCACCTGTCACGTTATAGAGCACGACGAGAGCCAAAACAGTTCACACCTTGGCGGTTAAATTTTTGAGTAGTATTTGCTATTTCAAATATCGACTGGGTTGCCCCGGGTACTATATGTCCATAACAGTCTTGATAAGCAAGGTCAGAGAGAAGGGGTATAAAACAGCTATAGCAATTGACTCAATTCAAGTTTGATCTGTTGTATAGCTGGTTAAGGATATAGATGAGTGACCAACCCCGCCTAAGCATCATTTGAAAAAAAAATTTAAGTACAGAGAAAGGAAGTATTACGGGAGACGCAGACTTTTTGATAACAACCTGCAATAAGTTGTCAAATCAATCACTTATGCTGACCTATATCGGTTTTTATATGCAAAAGGTACTTTGCCCGGACCCAGTGGAGCCTGCATTCGTTTTCGCGCCTTCCCGATCCCGAGGACAGCTCGTATCTGTTGGGAGGTGACATGCCTCATCTGGTACTCGAACTCGTGACTTCCCTCGTGACACCCGTTACCATGGTAGATGATGGGTTTGAATATTTGTAGCAGCAGTGCACGCTACCGATTGCGCCGTGACTGTACCGCCACCCTCCATACTTACGTGTTTCCTTTTGTAGTAATCAAACAATTTTTTACAAATGGTTTCTAGCAGCAAAAGTTGCAGTGGACGTACTGACATTCGAACCCGTACTGTAATATCTAGCCGCGTACAGGTCAGCGAAGTTACCACGCAGCCAGGGAGGATTCGTTGCAACCGACTGATCAAATGCAAACTTTCTACTTTGTCACGTATATGGCCGGGCTAGTTTGGATGCACATGTATGTCTGCAATTACAATCGGTTGCACTTGAGCCGTACAACTGTAATTCTTCCTGCACAACGCCAGTCCCCGAACATTGTCTTTCATTGAACGTTGAAGTTCATGATGTTCACAAGGCCTTGTTTGAGAAGCCGACACAGAACGTTCCTAGATAGATTATTTGTCGTACTATGGCTTTGTTTTGAGCTAAGCTTTAGTTAATATCACCTATGACGTTAAAGAGACTGTTTTAGTTTAAGCAATTAAAAAAACGTTCAAATGTGTTAAAGCTGGCGCGCTTGCAATCGAAGCAATTTTACCTACCATAGTGTCTGCTGTCCACATTGTTCCTGTACGCCATCAGGAAGGGGTGGGTGCTGAACACATGATCGAGGAGCTGGTCGATAGAGCTGTGTGCTTCCAGCGCCGTGGCGAAGTCGTAGTAGTCCGATAACTCGTCTCCGTCTGACACACGTTTAAAGTAAATAAAACGTAATTAGAAACGAGGTCACCTATACATTTAAAGACTTGTCTTTCTAGGATGACCAGTTCCATAACTGGATACCGCTATCGTGTGGGTAACACTATCCACTGGATAAAATGATTATCCTTGTTATCCTATAGACAGTTATCCTTTGGATACCAGTCATTTATAACCACTGGACAGCAATAGCACTGACATGAACGATAGCCAAAATTTGTTAACATTTATTTTACTTTATTTTATTTTTTATTTGATTCAAATCCCGGCCCTCACCTTCCTTAATCGTATCCCTTAAAGCCTTGAACACGGCGGTCTGGGACGCTCTGTGGCTCTCTAACAGTCTGGCTAGCCTCCTTAGTGGACGCTGATTTCTACACTCCATGTACAGGCTCTCAATAGTGCTGAAATCTGAAATATATATTAGATACGCACAGGAACCACAAAATAAGTTAAAAACAAGACCACAATTTTGATCTCCTTTAATCCAGGAAAAAATTATATTTGTCTACTAAAACAAAGAAACTACATATATCTAAAAGGACTGGGCATCTTTGACCCCTTTATGAGAAAATACTAATACTAAAATGGCTGCCTCGTTTTTCGTATAAAAACATTTCGTATTTAGCATTACGCAGAACACGGGATCTTTGAATGTGGTATTCAAACCATGAACCAGTGCAGTGTGTTTTGGTATTTCACAGTTTGGGGTATATGTGGAACTGTTGTGCTATTATTACTTACTGTCTACAAGACACTGTACATATCTCTTTATAAAATCAGCAGCGAGCGCGGGAGATTTCATCCGTCTTTGGTGCATGGCGCGCAAACTTGACCACGTGATCTCAAGTTGTACCGGGGGGTGAACACGTGCTGCAATTATTTATTTATTAATATTAACCATCTTTAAGATGAATACAACTTTTAAAAAGATGAATTTTCACTTTTCTGATGATTTTAGAATTTACACTCTCTCGAAAGTGACTATTTTAAAGTATTTTTAAATATAAATACTAGTTTATTTACATTTCAGTGGTACGATTATATATTTAATACTTATACATGTCCATTCAAAGCTTGTTGATGAGTACAACACTACATGTATCCTTATAACACATAGTTCATGCTTTGAGAGAATACTATCCTTTCAGCTACA